CACCTCTTTTGGCACAGTTAAACATGAGAGCCAGGTCGTTATTACCTTACAGGAATGGAATGAACTTAGTAATGTAGTTTGGCTGGTTGGCTAACCACAGACATACAAGTGGAGAGAACAGTGCACTATTGTTGGTTAATAATCAAGTTTCCATATGATGCTATTATAAGATACAGTTTCTAACTGCAAAAGTTTGAGTAAGGATTGTTGATATTTTTGTAGGCTTACCACAAATGATTTGCTTAATCCAGGTAATTCTGCATTGTTTGTGCTCTATATTTTAGGTGTATTTTGGACTGCTGGTGGGACTTTCCCTGCTCTCTCCTGCTATCTGCGCCCACATTGAAAATCTCCCAGAGATCATTGCATTTCTGCAGAACCAGTGAGATTTTCTCCATTTATAATTGATTTTTTGTGCTGATTATTGGTCGATTTAATGACGTGAGCACTCTGAAGGGTTGAAGCCAATACCTATAGATTCTGCAGACATTAGCTAAAGGATTTCCCTGAAATACTTACCTGTGCAATATTGTTTTCACCTAAATTAAATGCTACTGCAAACCAGTATAAAAACATGACAATTTATTAGAAAACATTTTTTCCACCCAAACCTTTGATGAGTATTGCTCTTTCCATTGTGTGCTGTAGCCTGTTTTAGGTACTCTCTTTAACAAAGAAATGCAATAATCTAAGTAAGGAAAGAAGGAAGTAAGAATTAATGTCATAGAATCTTGTAGCAACTCACACAGGGTCATGGATATCATAGAAAAAAAAAGATTTTCAGTGTTAAGTTAAAGTCAAGAATTACTTAAATGTTTCAAACTGTCATCTTGGTCTGTAAAACCATAAGACACTACAGATATGTACAGCCATGTATCACCTGCATAATTGGTCAAGTTGATCAGGGTTTATTGATAATTTGATCTAATGGCAGCACATACAAGGACGACAAAAGTGGGCCAAGTACAGAGCCTTGTGGCACACCGATAGAGAATATCATGTCTTTGGAAAGATGTTCATCTCAATTAATGAAATAGATCTAGATTTATTGTCTCACAGTTTACCATTTATCAAACCAAGTTAAGAAAGTCCCAGAGTCATATCCAGTTTTCACAATAACCCAGCAATATCCTGTGATCAAGGTGTCAAATACAGAAATAAAAAAAGAAAATCATGATTTTTGATTTTTTTTTTTTCATTATTAATTTTAAGATCAGTTAATATACTGCCAAGTGTTATTTTATTACACTGACCTGATCAGAAAAAATAAAAGATTTTTTAATGAATATTATTTTCATGGGGAAATTTTGGCTGTAAATATGACTGTAATGTTTTACACAACAACTTTTTTAAGAGCTTTCACAACACCCCTTTGTAATTGTTATGGTTTGTGTGTTATTAGGTTCGGAGGTGGTCAGTTTGCTGTGGCCTTCAATATCCCAGCTGAAAAGTGTCATGCTGGTGTGATTCCTGAGCAGAACTTCTTTCAGGGCATTGATCCACAAACTGTAAGAAATGCCATGAATGATTACCACAAAATTTATGTAGGAGAAGAACTGATTGCTGCCAGACCAAAACCGATTCCTGGAAGGACAAGCAACTACCACTCTGAGTATCTTCTGCTGGTTAAGTCTAATCCACCAGCAACATCTCCTAATGACCCACTCATTATGAATCTCTTAAACAGAGACCCAGCTGGCTGTGTGGTTTTCTACACCTTCAACTCTCCCTGTGTGAACACCTGCTCAACACCTGGGGGGGATTACAGCATCATCTCTGCACTCAACATGCTCAAGAACCACCAGGGTCCTAAAGCTTTTGTTTTTACACAGGTTTGGAAACATGATGAAGGGACCATTGAGTGGGAAGGAAACATAAGAGAAGTGAACGCTAGACTGCCGCTCTACCGCTGTTACAGTAGTAGCTGTGTCTCTTGTGTGAATGACAATCATGTTGCAGACGAATGCTTGTACAACTACAAATTCTTTAACGAGCTTTAAACCAAATCAAATTCAACATGAAATAAATGTTTTCAAAAGCATTACTGATGTGTTGTATGTGTATTTATTTACAGTATTTACATAAATCAATAAACATACGCTGAAGAACAAAAGGACCAGTGCTCAGGGGAGATAAAGGAGAGCAACTACCCTCCTCAATTGCTATCTTCCTCTCTCATTGAAGGGTTCTGTAGAGCATTGTCTAAGAAGATAATGTTCTTTTACAAACAGGCCTGGTCTATAGGAAACTTAACAGCTCTAACGTTTAAAAATTAGACCACATCTACTACATTTAAATTAAAAAAAGACTTAATGTATTTTTCATTTTATAATGTGCCTAATGTTTTCAGTGGTGACAAGTCTGGACTGCAGGCAGGTCAGTTTAGCACTCAGATTCTTGTAATGCTGCTGTAATACATGCAGAATGTGGTTTGACATTGTCTTGCTGAAATAATCAAGGTCTTCCCTGAAAAAGACGTTGTCTGGATGGCAGCATATGTTGCCAAAACCTGTATATATCATTCTGCATTGATGGTGTCTTCACAGATGTGCACGTCACCCACGCCATGTGCACTAGTTCACGTTATTAGCATAAGCTAGAGTCCAGTGAGCTGATGGGCAGTAGGACTCTTACTTAAATTACATTATTAATTAAGCAATCTTGACTCAGTTTGTTCTCTTAAATGAACTTAATTAAACAGCAACAGCCTCTGCACATCTTTCAGGGACTCAAAAATACTGGAAACAGATAAACTATGATGTCTCATATTATCATCTAATCATGAAACACATGCAGTTTAATGTAAACCTTGTTCCTGACTCAGTTCACAGAAAGGTGTGTAACTGTGCTCTAGCAGAGTGAACTGTGGTCAGTCTCAGCTCTCAGAGTGTTAGCTTTAGTGTTTTTCTGTACAGATTATTTCTAATGATGTAGCCGAGTAGCTCAGAAATATGTTCAGGTTGTGACAGCGGAAATATGAAAAAGTAAATTATCACTACAGTAACAGTACTTGTACTTTTTACAGCCCTGCTTGGGAGTACCAAAACCCATTTGCACACTCACAGTGTGGGGACCTTTCTTCCTTGTGGAAGCCACAAGCTGGTCCATTCCATGTAAATCATTAAATTTGAAGGTGAAGTTAAGGTTAAGGTTAAGGTAGTCATAGTTCTAAGTAAGGTTTGGGTAAGTCTATAGGAAATGAATGGAAGTCTATGTGATGACCCACAGTTCACAGAAAGAAAAGTGTGTTACAGTTGTTCTTGACTGCATTCGCCATCAATCTGAAGAACGATTCCACCACACAAAGAACCATTTGACCATTTTCTTTACTTAAGAACATTTAAAGCTCATCAGGTTAATAACTCTGTAAAGAAGTTGAACAGAAGCTGATTTGAAGTGTTTTTGAGGTTTGAACTGATAAAATTATTGATTTTGTTCATCTAAACTAAAATTCTGCAGTGAAAGTTTTGAAAGTCTTTCATAAATCTCTGAGTTTCTGTAGCTCAGTGTGGAAACGCTCATATACACTATTACAAACCTGCTACACTGAACTGCAGAACTGAACATGAAGATAAACCACATATCAGTTTATTGAATCACACAGACTGTATCAGACCACAATCACGATAATGATCATATATCACATATAAAACGCTTATAAAGACAAACTGCTGACTGAATGTGAGTAAACAGGCCAATCACAACTGAGGCCAATCTGAGCTGAAGTCCTGCTCAGGAGGTGACCGTCTATAGAAAGGAGTTCTGGAGGTATTTCACTAACAGTGGACAGTGCATTATGGGACAGCATTTAATCAGCAAGTGCTCATTCATTGATCAGTTAGACATTTACATTCACTTTTCTTGGCTAGAGAATGTAAAGTTCTGGATTTTTTTAGTTTCTGTTTCTTCATTTGTTTTGCTTGATTAATTCAGCTCTAATAAACACTCAGTGAAACAATGCAAAGCAGAACTTTAGTTTAGATGAACAAAATCAAAATTTCTCATCAATTCAAATCTCAAAAACAGCCTCTGTTCCACTGTTTACAGTGTTGTTTACATGGCCAGCCAAACAATAATCAAAGAATCCAAACAAGAATCAAAACTCCAGAGTAAATCATCTTCACTGCTTCACAGATCTGAATAAACAGTGGATCTACATTATTGTGATCAGCTGTTAGTGTTTCTGAAGTCACTGTGCTGCTGGGTTTAGATCAGCTGACCATCATAGAGCTCACAGACATTAGATACTGACCTTTAAAGCAGTGTTCTACTGACCTCTAGTGGTCAGAATGTGACTACAGTTAGTGAGTGTTCTCTTGCCTGTAGGTGGGCAGGTTTATTGATTATGAGGCTGAAGGTAAAAAGTTGGAATGGGGTCCCACAGACACAATTATTATAATTTTTTTTTTAAAGAAATGCAAAGCAAAAAGGGATATCTTGGCAAGTGAAATTGCTTCATGTCTGATATTTCTCATTTTGGGAATATTTGTGTTTGTTTAACTTTATTTCTGAACATTTTTATTTCAGTTGTTTTATTAGGTGAAGTTCTCTCTCTATTGGTGCATCATTTTGCTTGTTGTAAGAAATAATGCTTAAAAGAAACAACATTGTCTGCCAATACAGTGAGATAATTTGGTAGCTGTAGTATGTAAGGAGATTACTTTACTAATAAGTAGCATAATCTCATTAAATTAAATTAGCCACTGTGCCTCCGTGCCTCCCTCCAAAACAAATTAGTAAATCTACTTTGTATGTATACTTGGTTCGGGGGGGGCACTAGGCAGCTGTCTACCTTTACCTAGATCAAAGACCACCCCTGTTGGTAAAGCAGTGCTGTGCTGAGAGGAATCAAGATTAAAAAAGAAAAGAAAAAACTCAGCAGCAAATTTACAAAAGAAATGATCAAATCAGAAAAATAATCAGTGGATGATGTCACTCTCTGTCGGTTGATGAATCAATGAAGGCATCATAGATCAATGCAGCTTAATCAGATTATTTATTGGTGATGATTAGAGCTGATTACAGAGCAACGAGAGCGAGAACAACAGCAGAAGAGTAAACCTCTCTCAGTGAATGTGTGTGTGTGTGTGTGTGTGTGTGTATGGTGTGTGTGTGTGTGTGTGTGTGATTGTAATTCATCTTAATTCAGTGGAGTTGTTTCGGCAATATCCAAGGTTACTTCCTTCAAAACAACGACGACAAGAGTCAGAAGACCTAGAGGAGTTACAGCGATAGAGGGGCACACGGATGTCTATGTCTTCAAACTTTCTCGTTATATTTCTATTATCATTCTCAAATAGTTTATGATAGACGAAAGCTGTTGGACCTGGGTGCCCTTTAAACATTATGAGGTTATTTATAATGCAGCGGTCACTTTTCTCATTTAAGCAGGTATTCTTACAGGGGGAATTATAGGTGTAGAAAATAGCACAGCCGCTTTGATCTCTGTCCAGCAGAATCTTCATGTGGGAGTGTGCTGGGTTTGGTCTCATCAGCAGAAGGTACTCAGAGTGGAAGTTGGTTCTGTTTTTGGTTCCATCATCTTTCAGTGTTGCACCAATCAGCCTTTCCCCAACATAAGTCCGGTTAGGTCCTGTCATGGCATTTTTTACAACATTGGACTTAGAAGCATTAAGAGCATTCGTAAAGTTCTGCATTAGGAATTTTCCAGTACAGAGCTGAGCTGGGATGTTGACGGCAACTGCAAACTGACGTCCTTCACCTGGACTGTAACTGAACACACCAAGAACTGGTCAAACACTTTATCACACCTGATATACACCAAGACTGATTAATCAGAGCTTCTTAACCCTAGAATATTTTATGTGTTAATTATGTTATAAACAGTTGTCTATAACTTTATATCACTTAACATCTATCAAGATCAGATCTATCATCTACAGTGAGCAGGAATAGGTGATGTTTTGCTTACTTGTTCTGGAGGTAATGGACTATCTGAGCAAGATTGCCGTCATTCACGTACTGAACTTCAGCCCCTCTCAGACGGGGAGAGAGAAGACAGAGCAGGAGCACTCTCAGAGCTCCACTGACAACCTACACACACAAACACACACACACACACACACACACACACACACACACAAACAGACACACACACACACACCATACATAAACACACACACACACACATTTGACCGACAGCCGATTTGGTCAGACTCTGAAGATGAGACTACACTAAATTCCCAAACTGTCATCACCACTGAGCAGCTTTTCGGTCGGCAGCTGTGACAGAAGAACAGCTAAACAACCTGGAATCAGCTAGAAATGAACCCAATACCATTCACGAAATGTGAGGCTGTATCTGCGCCTCATTCACTAATGAACTCAGCTCATTATAGTAGATATTATTAGTATTATTAGTATTAATAGCGTGGAGGCTGTACCTGCACCTCATTCGCTAATGAACTCAGCTCATTATAGTATATATTATTAGTATTATTAGTATTAATAGCGTGGAGACTGTACCTGCGCCTCATTCGCTAATGAACTCAGCTCATTATAGTAGATATTATTAGTATTATTAGTATTAATAGCGTGGAGACTGTACCTGCGCCTCATTCGCTAATGAACTCAGCTCATTATAGTATATATTATTAGTATTATTAGTATTAATAGCGTGGAGGCTGTACCTGCACCTCATTCACTAATGAACTCAGCTCATTATAGTATATATTATTAGTATTATTAGTATTAATAGCGTGGAGGCTGTACCTGCACCTTATGTTTCTATTTTTTAGGGCATTACTAATTGCTTAATAATAGTTCATTAATTGTTTAGAAGCAGTCCTTAAAATAAAGTTTTACCCTGTTATTTTATGATAAATTATGAACATAAAAGTTATTTTGTGAAAATGAAGTAAATAATTCGAGATCTCAGTATACAAACTAAACATTATCTCGTAATGACACCAAAACAGAGTAAACAAATATGTGAATGCTGGAACTTTCAGTGCTTCTGTAGCTACAATTGTTCAGACAAGTTTATTCACGTTATGCTCAACAATCAGATCTCATTTCAAAGTCTGCTTAGATAATTAGCTCAGTGAAGCTAACCAGGCTGAGCGCAAGTGCGTTCCTGTTTACTACTGCACCTCTCACTGTTTCCTCCTCCACTTGTGTTCTGAGTGGTCATTCATGTAATACCTGTCTGAGTGGAGAGGAATGACCAGTTTCTCTGACACCTGAACTTAAAGATCTTGCGAAGGTAAAGCTGATAAATGGGAGGCTGTATCTCACCATGGCTGTCAGTGCAGGAGGAGTCTGAGGAGCTTCTGTAGATGAAGAAGAGCTGAACTTTCTCAGAAGAAAGTACTGCAGAGGAGAAACTCATGAACATTTATACCTATTATGGCTCCGCCTACTTTACAAAATGTATTAATCATTGTTTGCTGATTGGATGAGACGTCTGTAGCCAGTCCAAAATTTTTTCAGGACAAGAAGAAAACTTTCTAATTTGCAGTGGATGTTAATGTATCAGTACTTTTTTGCAAGTAATCTTGGCCCTGTTGCTGTTGGTTTGTATATCATTAAATTTTAACACAATGTAAAAAGTAAGTGCAGTTTTCAAATAATGCAAAAATTAAAAAAAAAGAAAAAGACAGAACTGTCAGTTTTTCACAGTGTGTGAAATGCTAATAACAACAGAAAACAGTGATTATTGACTTCTGATTCACCTGCATTCAAGTGAAAACACAAATACAATATTTCAGTTTTCAGCTTATGAACTCTGTTTTTGTAAATACAACCCCATTTCCAAAACAGTTGGGAAACTGTGCAAGATGTAAATAAAAACAAAATGTAATAATGTGCAAATCATTTAAACTCTATATTTCATTGAAAATAGTACAAAGATAACAAATCAAATGTTGAAACTGAGAATTTGTTTTAATTTTTTGAAAAATATTTGCCCATTTTGAATTTCAAGCCAAAAACACCCTGCAAAAAAGTTGGAATGGGGGCAACAAAGATTGGTAAAGTTGTGTAATGCTAAAAAAAACACCTGGTGGTTGCTTGACAACAGGTCAGTAACATGATTGGGTATAAACAGCATCCCAGAGAGTCTTTCAGAAGTAAAGATTCCACTCTGTGAAACACTGCACGATCAAATAGTGCAACAATTCAAGAATAACGTTTCTCGACGTAAAACAGCAAAGAACTTTTACTTTCATCGTCTATGGTACATAATATCATTAAAAGATTCAGAGAATCTGGAGAAATCTCTGTATGTAAGGGAGAAGACCAAAAACCAGTATTTGCTCACTGTGATCTTTGGGCCCTCAGGCAGCACTGCATTAAAAACAGACATGATTCTGTAGTGGAAATCACTGCGTGGGCTCAGAAACACTTCTGAAAACCAGTGTCTGTGAAAACAGTTCATCACTGCATCCACAAATGCAAGATAAAACTCTAAAACACAAAGAAGAAACTGTACATAAACAGGATCCAGAAACGCTGCCACCTTCTCTGGACCCGAGCTCATTTAAAATGAACTGAGCGGAAGTGGAAAAGTGTCCTGTGGTCCGACAAATCAACTTTTGAAATTCTTTTTGGAAATCATGGACACTGTGTCCTCCAGGCTAAAGACCACTCAGCTTGTTATCAGTACACAGGTCAGTATTTATGATGGTGTAGGGGAGCATTAGTATACAAGGTATGGGTAACGTGCACAACTATGAAGGCACCATTAATGCTGAATGGTATAAACATGTTTTGGCAACATATGCTGCCATCCAGATGACGTCTTTTTCAGGGAAGGCCTTGTTTATTTCAGCAAGACAATGTAAAACCACATTCTGCATGTATTACAGCAGCATTGCTCCGTATTAAAAGAGATGGGGGGTTAACTGACCTGCCTGCAGTCCAGACCTGTCACGCACTGAAAATATTTGGCACAATATGAAATGAAAAATACAACAAAAGAGCCCCTGAGCTGTTGATCTGCTGAAATTCTATATCAAACAAGAACAAGAAAACATTTAACTTTCAAAACTACAGCAGTGTCTCCTCAGTTCCCAAATGTTTACAGAAGAAGAGGTGATGAAACACAATGGTAAACACTTTTTGGAACGTGTTCTTGGCATCAAATTCAAAATGGGCATATATTTTTTCAAAAAATAATAACATTTCAAAATCTGATATGTTGTCTTTGTAGTATTTTCCTTTTAAAATATGGTTTACATGACTTGCATCCTATTTTTATTTTCATTCTGCACAGCGTCCCAATGTTTTTGGAAATGGGGTTGTATATGCTTATTCCAAATATGAAACCTGCAACATATTTCGAAAAAGTTGGAGCTTGTTTACATTACCTTTACTTTTAAAAGCACTCAATGATTGTTTGTAGACTGAAGACAGAAACTGATCCAGTTTTGAAAGTAAATTTTTTTGCCATCTTTCAAATGTACTAGTCTTCAACTGCACAACCATACCAGGCATTTGTTGATGTGTGTTGCATTTCATGAAAGCGCCACATGATTTCAAAAGGAGACAGTCAGACCACTCTAGAACCCGCACTGTCTGACTACACAGCCATGCTGTTGTAACACACGCAGAATGTGTTTTTGTCATGTTGAAATAAACAGGACGTCCCTGAGAAAGTTGGCAGCATGTGTTGCTCCACAATGTGTTTAGAGTTAATGGTGCTTTCACAGATGTGGAAGTTACTCACTAAAGCAGGCACTTCAACTCATCCAGAGTGCAGCAGCACGGGTTATTTACAAGCATCCTAAATTCACTTGTCACTCCACTACTGCCTTCTCTTCACTGGCTTCTTGTAGCTGCCCACGTCACATTTAAAAACCTGATGCCTATAACGCCAAAAATGGCCCAGCCCTTCTTTGCCTGATGGCAAAGGTCAAATTAAAATGATTATGAATATGCTGCCTGATGTGACATTGATTTACAATATTTTTTTTTTTCCATTCATGGTGGAGGGATACACGCAGGATGTTGTGAGGCAAAATAATCTGGTGAATGGGAAGGCCACCGAAGAACTGAACATATTGTCATGTTCCTGAACAAACGCTTATTTCAGATGTTCCACTATTTTCCCATCATCAACATTTCATATGAAACTCAGAAGACTCGTGTAGGTTTACGGGTGATTTTGGATAATAAATAAAATGTCTATATTTGTGTTGTCGTCATGGTGACCCCTGGTTCCTATCACCACCACTTTAAAGACATCTAAACATTTTCTTAAGAATCCAGTTTACTCAGTACAAGATATATATTCATAAAAGATCACAAAATCATATAGTTAACAGAAAATCACAAAGAAACCTCAATATTTAGTATTCAGTCTGTCCACTCTTTACCTTAATTTCAGCTTCCACTCTTTTCAGGAGAATCACTTTGAGTTTCTCAAAGAATCTGCAGACACACCTCCAAAGTTCAGTCTTAGAAGTTGGTTCAGCATTTTCTTCTTCTCACCATCCACATGAATATATTTAATGACATTAAGGTCTGGATTTTGACTGAGAATGCCAACAGCTGATATGTCAGCTGTAATCTAATGTTATATATATATATATGGCGGCACGGTGGCGCAGTGGGTACCGCTGTCGCCTCACAGCAAGAATGGCCTGGGTTCGATTCCCGGCCGGGCGACCAGGGTTGTTTCTGTGTGGAGTTTGCCTGTTCTCCCCGTGTCTGCGTGGGTTTCCTCCGGGTACTCCGGTTTCCTCCCACAGTCCAAAAACATGTAGTCAGGCTGATTGGACATGCTAAATTGCCCCTAGGTGTGACTGTGTATGTCTGTCTGTCTGCCCTGCGATGGACTGGCGACCTGTCCAGGGTGTATCCTGCCTTCCGCCCAATGACAGCTGGGATAGGCTCCAGCACCCCACCGTGACCCAGAAGGATAAGCGGTTTAGATGATGGATGGATATATATATATATATATATATATATATAATATATATATATATATATATACATACTCACAAACTGGTTATTATGAACACTATACTAATACCGGGTATGGCCTACCTTTGCTCTAAAATCACAACCGTTCGTGACATGGATTCCACAAAATATTGCAAACATTCCTTTGAGATTCTGGTCCATGTTGATATGACTGCATCATGCTGTGAATCACCAGTTCTACCACATCCCAAAGGTGTTCTATTGTATTCAGATCCAGAGACTGGGAAGGCCGCTGAAGAACACTGAAATCACTGTCATGTTTATGAAACCAATTTAAGCTACTTTTGTTCACACAAGGCAGGTTGGGTCCATTGATCCATGTTGTTGGCACCAAATACTGTCTCTACCATCTGTGCGCCTCAACAGAAATCGAGATTCATCATGTTCTTCCAGTCTCCAACTGTCCAGTGATAGAAGTGGAACCCAACATGATCTTCTGCTGTTGTAGCCCATCCACCTCAAGGTTAGATGTGTTGTGCATTCTGAGATGCTTTTCTGCTCAGTATAATTGTAGTTACTGTATCCTTTCTGTGAGCTCAAACCAGTCTGGACATTCTCCACTGACCTCTCTCATCAATAAGGCATTTCCACCAGCAGACCTCCCACTTATGGGATGTTTTTTCTTTGGTGCACCATTCTAAGTGAACTCTAGAGACTGTTCTCTGTGGAAATCAGACATCAGCAGTTAATGAAATACTTAAACCAGCCCATCTGGCGCCAGCAATCAGACCACACTCAAAATCACTGAAATCACATTTTTCTCCATTCTGGTGGTTGATGTGATCATTACCTGAAGCTGCTCCACGTATCTCCATGATTTTATGTAATGCGCTGCCTCCACACGATTGCTGATTGCATGAATGAGTAGGTGTACAGGTGTTCCTAGTAAAGTGCTTAGCGAGCGTATATCAACATTATTTTCTGCAGTTTCTCTTCTTTTTTCTGTTGTCTTTGTTTTGTGTATTTTATTATTATATAATTAGTCTGTGTATTCTTTGTCTCCAAGTGTTGAAACATAACCAATACACAAATGGTGATTTCCATCTTCTACTATGGGCATCTTGAACAATTATCTAAGTACTTAGGTGACATACATAGTATTTTAAAATACAAACTCAATTTCCAAAAAGATGTTTTTTCCCCCAAAAAGTTGGGACTGGAACATATTTACAACTGTGTTGCATCACCTTTCCTTTTAAAAGTTAATTTATGGACTGAAGATACAAACCAGATCCAGTTCTGAAAGTGGATTTTTTGCCATTCTTCAGATGTACTACTCTACAACAGCGCAAACATACTGGGCCTTTGTTGACATGTTTCAAACTTCTTGAAAGCGCCACATGATTTCAAAAGGAGACGGTCAGACCACTCTAGCACC